GGGTGCCCCTGCCTCCGGCGCCCACTCCAGGCTGCAGCCTCTGCGCTCGCAACGTCTCCATCCCGGCCGCCCGCGGAGCAGCGGCCCGGAGCCTGCCAGCCTGGCGAGTTAACGGTCTCACCACCCCAGCCAGCGAGGGGACCGAGGGCGGTGCCGCGGCCCAGCCGTCAGTCAAGCGGGGGCGGGGACAAGCCAAGTCCTACGCCAATCACTCGGCGGAGGCGGGAACTAGTGGGCTCCGGCTCCGCCATAGGTTCACTACGGAAGGGGGCGGAGGTTCCGAACAGCCAATTGCAAAGAGAGAAAGCAGTCTTCTCTTTAAGGGAGAAACAGCTGGGGTGAGTCTCTGGAAGTCCTGTGGTGAGTACAAAACAAAAAGAAAAAAGGGAGAGAGGCTGACTCTTGAAGCGGGGCTCTAAAGAAGAATACGACTGAATACAAGACTGGGGAGAAGCGTAGGCAGCGAGAGAGGAAGTTTATAAATGACTCGTCTGATCATTTTGAGACGTCAGGGAGGAAAACTCGTTCACATAAGTGATATGACTTGTCCAAGATCACAGAAACTGGTGGTAGAGCCAAAATAAGGAAAGGTGGTAGCATTTCATGAGCATATAGTAAAGGTCAGCTACTACACAATGGGCTTCCTGCATTCTTACTCAATAATCCCAAGCACTAACTAGATTTGATTATTTAATGGTAAGGAAAGTAGCGTTCAGAGAGGCTACATTGGCCAAAATTAGAAACTAAGAAATGGCAAAGGAAGGTTTAAACATTGGATTTATCTATCTATTTATTTATTTAACCTCTAGTAATCTGAGTTTTTCATATGCCACGTTGTTGGGCAATGCTCCCATTCACCTCTTCTCATGCGCCACCCTGGTGGCACAATGGTTAAATTGTCAGCTGCTAACCAAAAGGCTGGCAGGTAGGATCCATCCGCTGTTCTTTGGGAGAAAGATGTGGCAGTCTGCTTCTGTAAAGATCTACAGCCTGGGAAACTCTATGGTGCAGTTCTACTCTGTCCCATAGGGTCGCTCATAGTAGAATCAACCGAGGGCGCTGGGTTTAAGTTGGCGTGGGGGGAGGGGGAAATAAGAAAGAAGAATAAGCAGTTCTCTATACTTCCTATTATCAATAAAACCAAACTCACTGCCGTCACGTCAATTCAGACATATAGTGACCCTATAGGACAGTGCCCCTGTGGGTTTTGGAGATTGTAATTTTTTTTTACCAGAGTGGAAAGCCCAGTCTTTTTCCTGCTTACCTTTTATAGTGAGGAAGAATTAGAATATAGGAGTGCACACACAAAAAATAATCCCCAAACAAAAATCTCAGAAAACTGAGAGGCTCAGGGATAGATTAAATTGTGTACTCTTTTTTCCAGAACCTGTCAGGCTGGGTTCCCTCCAATCTCACACACACACACACACACACACACACACACACACACGCCACCCTTTGTCAGCTGATCAACATGTCATTTTTGCCTGAGATTACACTAATGCCTGCCTTCTCTATGCATCCTACAGTGAACTCAGAAATCAAGGGATGAAAAAGAGGCCCAAAGTAGAATAGGTGAAAGACATCTAGCAAAATGGAAGTTAACCCACAAGGGAAAATTCCAAATAGTCAAAAATCAGGAGCAGCTAATTTACACTTAATCTAACTGCTGAGAGAGCTAAGCTGAAACCTTTGAGGAATGGCATGAGGGAGACAGGGAAAGGAAAGCTTGTCGAATGCCTTAAAACCTTCAGGAGATGGGACACTTACCTTTCTTCTACTGCTACTCCTGGCAGGAAGGTGGCTGGAGCCTCTAAGTATCCCTCTATCATCATAGCTAGAATTGCTATACACCCCCTTCCTATTTTTCCACTCCCCTCACCCAGCACATACACACACACCGTGCATGCAGAAGAGTGACAACACAGACTTCTGAATACATTTATTTGATATGTCCAGTGCAGAGAGGAGTACTTTTTGGTCACTCCCCACTTCTACCTGTAGGAGTGTTCAAGCTCAGACAGAACAGAAGAGCAGCTTAGAGCCCATGACCCATATCCTGGGGAGATGAGATAACCTGCTGTAATGGGCGTGCGGGGGAGGGAATAAAAAGCCGGAAGTGGCGAGGGGAAGGGAGAGGTGAAGGCCAGCAGCAGAAGTGAGGATAGGGCTGCTGCAGCAGATCCCCAGGAAGAGTGAAGAGGAAGGTATCCTGAAAAGTGGGGCTGGAAGCAGCGTGTGAATGAGGAGGCTGGCCTGGAGAGAGAAGCAAGACCTGGAGACGACGGTGGGACCTTCAAAAAGAGGGGCAAGTGGGCAAAATGATGACGGGGCCTGTGTTGTGGAAAGCCAGGGACTGATTGCTATTGAGGGAAAGTTGTCAGCAGGAGGGCAAGGAGAGGAGGGACTACGCCCAACCAGGGGCTCCCTACTGCTTGTGGACAAACGCATTGTGTTTGGGGCTCATTTGGAGCCCTAGCACAAGTGACCCTGTGTGTTTTTGTGTTTATCGGTAGACCGTGCTGTGGGTACACAAGTAATCCCACATGCATGTGAAGTGACCAGGGCGTGAATGCACGTCGCTGTATACCCAGCAATAAGAATTTACTCTCCCCTCAAATAAGAGTGCTGTGCTTGTGGACACATGCTTACCCATGTGTGCGTGCACTGTGCTCAAGAGCACATGCTAGACGCCCCTGTGTCCACGATGTGTGTCAGAGCTGCTTTCCCCGCCGTTTTCATCAAGGCCCTGAAACCCACCCTTCCCGACTCCTCCCTCCTCTCAGCGCCCTGGCTCCCCAGGCCCGCCCAGACTCTGGAACCCCCCCAGCAGACGGATCTGCTCAGTCTGCATGGAGTGGCGCCTCACCAACTTGCGCTTGGTCCTGGGTGAGCCAGGCGCCCCTGCCTGGGGCGGGGCAGGCAGCGAAGGCGCCCGACCTCCGGGCTGGGGGCGAATGTCGGGGATGGGAGGGTGGGGGCTGACGTTGAGGGGCGGCAGGAAGCCGGGCCGCGTCTGAGAGATGTGGTCCAGCAGGAGCGTCCCCGAGCCCCTCCGCTCCAGCAGCCCGGGACTCCGCCTCCGGCCGCTCAGCGGAGACACGGCGCCCGGCAAGCTCTCCTGGGACTGGCGCGGGGAGGGCGCCGAGCCGGCGAGGGGGAAGGTCAGCGGCGAGGCGCTGTACCGGCGGCGTTCCAGGGACAGGCGGCTGGACTCCGGCGAATCGGGGCAAAGGTTTCCGGGGGTGTCGAGCTCCACCGGCTCCATCCGGCTCAGCTTCTGCCTCAGCCCCGCAGGGAGACCAGCCTCCTGAGCCTCGGGCACGGTGTTTCGGCGCGAGAGGGGGCCCCCGCCCGACACTCTCTCCGCCCACGGGGGCGGGTCCTCGGGGCCCTCGGTACTGTGACGCCGAGAAAGACGGGGTCGCCCGGTCAGCGTCAGCCCGTTGAACTCGGCAGTCAGGCGTTCGATCCCCGGCCTTCCCTCGGCCGGCGGGACTGGTTGGGGGGGAGCCACTAGGCCCCAGGGCTCGGAGTTGAGCCTTTTGAGTGGTTTGGGAGGGTGACGGGGTGGTTTGGGGAGAGGCTCAGAAGGGGTGGGGTCATCGGGGGTCTTTGGAAGAGGGAATTCAAAGACGTCCCGCTTCTCCTCTTCCTCCTGGGCACGAGGGGATAACAACACCCGCCCTCCCGCTGCAGTCTGCAGTTGGATTTCCGAAGGCGACGTGCAGGCCCCCGGGCTAGGGGGGACCGGGGCAGGCTCCTCCAACCCCGGGGACGGTGGAGAGTTGAGATACTGCCGGGTCTTCTTGGTACCCGAAGGCGAGGTGTCGGTGGTGATAATGATGACCTCCGTGCCCTTAGCCTTGCAGGCTTCCAGCAGCGTGGCCAGGGTCTCACGGTCCCCGCGGTCCAGGGCGTGGACCAGGGCCGACGCTCCCGCGTGATCTCGGACGGAGGGGTCTGCGCCGTGGGCCAGTAGCAGGGAGGCCACGGCGGCGCCCCCACCCCCGGCGCAAGCGTGCATGAGTGCGGTGCGCCCCAGGCGGTCTGCGATGTTGGGGTCTGCGCCCTGCTCCAGCAGGTAGCGGACCATGCGCGCCTTGTTCTGGGGGTCGTCGTAGCGGGCCCGACAGGCAGCCATTAGCGCAGTCTCCCCTTGAGCATCGCCCTCATTCACATAGGCTCCCCCTTCCAGAAGCAAACGGGCCAGGCGCAGCTTACCCTGCCCCACGGCCCGAAGAAGAGCGTGGCCCTCGGTGTGCAGCATAGCTGCGGCGGGGCCGAGGGCACCGATGGAAGCGGGGTTGGGGCCTGCAGGGGACTGATAGGGGCGTGGGCTGGCGGTTGGAAAAGGCCTGAGGGCTCAGTGGCAAAGCTGATCCCTGTGAGAAAGAGAGAGACCTTATAGCAGATACAGACAGGGAAACTGAGGCACTGATAGGGGGTGGGCAGGGGGAGACCTCCACGGAACAGGGTCCCTTCTAACTCCTGCCTCTGAAACGCCCCTTCCTCCACCCCACCCCCAACGCATGCCTGAGGAGGTGGAGAGGGTGCACCCGCACTGAAGGACGAGCGCGCGTGCAAATACGTACGGGCACGCGCGGGGAGATCCGCACCCCCATCCTCACCCCACGGCTTATCAGACCTTTCCACCACCCCCCTTTTATTATCCGCACTTGGATTACCCCTTTCTAGGATGCTGAACGCCAGCCCATCCACACACATGCACGCATCCATCCACACACACATTCCCATGCCTAACCTCTTTTAGGTTGTCACAGCCCCAGATATTGAGTGGGGGAGGGAAGCAGCTTGCGTTTGGGACCTAAGGGCGGGTGGGGAAGAATTGGGGGTTTCTTTTGCCCCTGCCTGTATGCTCCCCCTCACTCCTTGCGCTTTCCCCTCCCAGGCTATGCGCCCAAATAGATACCTGAATGTCCGCAGAACCTCGGCAGAGACAGGATTGAGGTCCGGGCAACGGGGCGGCCGGGGTGGGGGAGCTGGGTTCCTGGGGACCCACATGGCGTGTGGGGGGGGGCACCCGGATCTCCTTGGTGTCAGTATCTGCGCCCCGGCGCCGGATCCTTGTCCCTGCTCCCGGTGCGCCCCGGGCACAGCGCCGACTCTGGAGGAGAGAGGCTGGTGGGGGGGGTGAAGGGGGGGCGGGCGGAGCTCTGTCTTGCTATTTATAGCTGCGTCTCCGCGGGTGGGGGCGTCCGGCACCAAGTCGCTCCCCCACCCCTGTACCATAAACCCTCAAAACCTAGAGGCTCCAATCCTGACTTCCCTTTCCCAGCCTACCTGCCCTCAGCCCCAACAAACCTAAAGGTTCCTTAGGGGAACTCGTCCAAGAACCCAGACCTGGACCATCCGGATTCCTCGCTGAGCTTCATCAGATCCCCATTTTCGGTGCTTCGTGTGTTTATGTGCGCCTGTGCGCCAGACCTGACCTGCCACACACAGCACATGGCATTCCGTGCAGAGGGGTGGAAAGAACCGGCGTCCGTACTGTGCAGAGAGAGCTGGCTGTCTTCTTGGAGTTTAAATGTCAGAGTCTAGCTGGGAGCCTGACACCGAGGTCCATCCCCACCCATTTTAGCAAAATGGACCGCACACCACCGATCCAGCTTGGGCGCCAGCGCCCTCGCATAGATGTCTTAGTACGCGGGGCGGGTGGCTAGCGTGGTCAGTTTTTAGATTCAGCAGAGGGCATTCCCATTTGCCACCTCCCCATAGGCTTCACGGTGGTGCTGGTGGTGGATAGCAAAGCAGCATGGGAAAGCTAGCCTGTAACACATTCTCTCTCATTTCAGCCCAGTCTTGCTTAGATTCATTATTTTTTTTCATCATGCTTGAGGGTCTCTGTCCCAATCCCTCCTTATCTGTCGTCTCTGTTTGTTGCTATGGGTCTCTCTCACCGTCTGTGCCTCCCCTTGCCACCTGCCCTGTTTCCATGGTTACCGTAGCTTCCATCTGCACATTTTAGGAATGAGTGTATGTCCAGCTGGGAGGCACCAGGGGGAAGTGAGGGATGAGAAAAATAGCCTAAGACTTTGGAAAGCTCACCTGAGGTCCTGTGATACCTGAGAGGCTGGAGGCCACCAGGTCCGGGAGATTAAAAATGCTGTGTTTAGGGAAGGGGAGAGAAGTATTTTACCAGCTGCCATTTATTGAACGCCAACAATGTGCCAAGTGCTCTACACACATTATCTCCAATCGTCTTCACAGCAACTCAGTAACGGTAAGGATTTTGACCTCCTTGTTACAGATGAGGAAACCGAGGCTTAGTAAGGTTAAGCAAGTTCTCCAACGCTACACAACTATGTCTCTGTCCCATTCCAAAGGGAACTTGCCACCACACACCTTCAGCCTGTCAGCCGGAGGCTCCACACGCTGCACCATCTTCTCCAACATCCGGGGGTTTGCTTTGATCAATTCCTAGATTTTTATCTCCCGTGTGACCTCTTCAGTTTCTATTTTCCGCAAGAGTCGGGTTCCCTATTCTGCCCCGCCCCCTTTATAGGGCACCAGGAAAGCAGAGGGAAATGCAGAAGGTCCTGGCTTGCCTCTGATCCACAATCCTTCCTTTCCCAAACCTGCTCCTCCCACCTCCTCTCCTCACAGACAAGGCAACGGGAAAAAATATTTTTAGAAAAGTAGCCATTGGTGGTGCTGAAAGGGGCAGGGTAGTATTGAAGGGAAGGTGGGCGTGATGGAGGAGAGGCCAAGTACGAAGCTCGGGTCATCGAAAGTCTGATTCCGGCCAGCAGTTTCATCGAAGTCCATTTCTCGGTCGGGACTCCTCTCCTCGCCTGGCCTCTCAGTGGAGCCTCCCTCCGAGGTGAGAGTCGGGTTCCTCTGTGAACGCTCGCTAACCAGGCGCTCCCCGTGTGTCGCGGGGTGAGGACGGAAACTAACTGACCCCGGGTGGATTCTGCAGCCTCATCGCGCCCGCAAGCCGGTTCATGAGCCCAGGGAAGTTCCGGTTGGCTCGCTTCCTCCCCCGCCCTCCCCTCCAGCGTCAAGTGGGCGGACATCCCTCCCCTGCTTCTCCCAGATTGGCCCGGAGGACCCGCCAATGGGGAGCTCGCAGAGGCGGGCCTAGAACCCCGGGGGCCGGAGGACGACAGGCAAATGCCAAGTTGGCCGCTGCGTGGGCTCCGAGTGGGGGAGGGGCGGCAGGTAAGGCTCCGACCGGTGACTCTGATCCGGCTGCGTCCGTCCCGCACGTAGCGGCATTGTGCACCGCGACTGGGCTGTGGGGTCGGCAGCGCTTTCCAGCGGCCTGGATCAGCCCCTTTGGCTCCCTACCCTTTCTCCCTTCCCTCCCATTGCTCTGCTTATTACCTACCAGTGGACCGTACTTTTGTTTCGCGCAAGAAAGGAGAGGGATTAAAACAGAAAGCAAAAGACGGCTCGCTCTTGTACCTGCCACTTTTAGCCAGGGCATCAGCCCCACCCCTCCGCCCCCTACTCTATTTATTATTCCTCCTGACTGACAGCCTGACAAACGCTTGTTTATCAAGTCTCGACTGAAATATTTCCTCCTACCTGTAGTTTTCCTGGACCCGTTTCTTGCACAATTGTTCTCCTGTGTGACTTTACATAGTGTCTTATATATACTTATTGCATAGGTTCACTTTTCATGTTTCTACCCATTTAAGAGGATAAGTTTTTGGAGGGCAAGAACTAGTCCTTAATACAGAATGCCCAATAAGAGTTAATTCAATGGAACTGATTTCCAGGCATCGTTGTTAGGAATAACCCGGGAGTCGGCTCTGACTCCTAGCTACCCCATGTTCAACAAAAGGAACACCACCCATCCTACACCATCCACACAACGTTATGTTGAGCTCCTTGATGCAGCCACAGTGTCACGCCATCTGGTCAGTGGTCTTCCTGTAGCCAAGAATTGGCACTCTCTATAAGGAAGCAAGATTTAAACTCATACTTAATTTGCATATGCTGTACTGTTCCTGAGAAGCAAGGATGGCTAAACTTCCTCTCATGTTGCTTTGAACATGTTAAATATCAGGAGAGACCAGTCCCTGGAAAAGGACATCATGCTTGGTAAAGTGGAGGGTCATTAAAAAAGAGAGTCTCAACTAGATGGATTGACACAGTGGCTGCAGCAATGGGCTCAAAAATAGCAATTGTGAGGATGATGGGAGAGAGGACCTGGCAGTATTTTGTTCGGTTGTACATCGGGTCCCAGTGAGACAACACTAACTGGACAACCCCAACTAACAACAGCGTAGGATTCTGTCTTTTATTGCAAGTTCTAGAGCAGTAAGAGACCATGCAATACGTAACCAACACTGAACCAAACTCGCTGTCGTCAAGCCAATTCAGACGAAAGTCATGGTCCATAATATAATGTTACCAGAATCCAGAGGAGAGAGAGCAAAGGACTGGAATGGTGAGGGGCGACTGTACTAATCACATAGTATCAAATTTGTAAAGGCCCTTAGAAATCATATATTCATTCAGTCTACAAATATTGTGAGCACTCACTATTGGCAGTCACAGTCCTGGACAGTGGGGATCAGAGTGTATCCTCTACACTAGTCAGGGATCCTTCTTTGGATAAAGCATGTTTGGTAAACATCTACCCCTTCCAAACAAACAGACAAAAACCACAACCGTCTGTCAAGTCGATTGTAACTCCTAGCAGGACACTATATGGGTTTCTGAGGCTGTACATCTCTATGGGAACATATGACCTCAACTTCTCCCCTGGACCAGCTGCTGGGTTACCATAGTTGACCTGACAGCACCTCCAGGCCTCCTACAGCTAGCCTCACTTTCAACAGCTTTAGGAAGAGAATCCACTGTCTTGCTTTGCAGATAGTTCCATGTTTGAAGATTTGTTTTTCAGTCAATATCCAACACATATTCCAAATAAGAACTATATGGCTCAATGAACTGCATTCCACTCTTCCATTAGAAGAGGAGCTATGTCCCATAGGTGGTGGTGGTGGTGGTGAAGTGCAGTACAGTCAGATCTGACTCAGAGTAACCCTGTGTGCAACAGAACAAAGCACTGCCTGGTCCTGCACCCTCCTCACCGTCATCGTGTGTGAACCCGTCATTGCAGCCACTCTGTCAGTCCGTGTAGTGGGGGGTCTTCCTCTTTGTGAACGACCCTCTTCTTTACCAAGCATGATGTCATTTCCCAGGGACTGGTCTCTCCTGATGACAAGTGCAATGCACTGGATAGGAATCCTCACCATTCTCTCTCCTACGTAACATCCTGGCTTCACAAATGTGTTTGCTCTTCTGGCAGTCCATGGTACGTTCCATATTTTTCACCAATAGATAATTCAAATGCAGCAATTCTATAGTCTTTTTTATTCATTATCCAGATTTCATATACATATGAGGCAAAAGAAAAATACCTTCACACACCTTAGCCCTCAAAGTGGTATCTTTGGACTTTAATCCTTCACAGAGGTCTGATGCAGCAGATTTGCCCCATATCATTTGATTTTTGACCGCTGCTTCCATGAGCATTGATGTGGATACAAGTAAAAGAAATCCTTGACAACTTTAATCTTTTTTCTGTTTATCATAAATGTCTGTTGGTCCAATGGGGAGGATGTTTCTTTTCTTGACATTGAGTTAGAAGCCCTGCTGGCATGATGGGTTACATGTCGGGCTGCTAACTTGCAGGTCAGCAGTCCAATATCACCAGCTGCTCCCTGGGACAGAGATGAGGTTTTCAGCCCTATAAAGATGTATGCATCCGAAACCCACAGAGGCCGTTCTGCTCTCTCTAGCCGGTCGCTGCGAGTAGAAACAGACTGGTGGTCGTGGTTACACTGAGTATTGAGTTGTAGGCCAGACCGATGGCTGTACTCTTTGACCTTCACAATCAAGTGTCAAGTTCTCTTCCTTTCAAACAAGCAAAGTGGTGTTCTCTGTATATCACAGATGTTAGTGAACCTTTCTGTAATCCTGATGCCAAGTTCTTCTTCATATAGTCCAGGTTCTCCGATTATTTACTGAGCTCACAGGCTAAATAAGTGTGTGAAAGGATACAACACTGTCACGCCCTTTTCCTGGTTTTAAGCCCTGCAACATTCTCCTGTTCTGTTTGAAAGGCTGCCTGTATGAGCATGATGCAGTGTTCTGGATTTTCCATGCTTCTCAAAGTTACCCATAGTTTGTTATGATCCTCATAATTGAATACCTTTGCATAATCAATAAAACACCAGTAAACATCTTTCTGGCATTCCCTACTTTCAGGCAAGATCCACGTGGCATCAGCAATGATAGCCCTTGTTCTGAGTCCTCTTCTGAATCTGAGCTGAGTTTCTGCCAGATCTCTGTCAGTGTACTGCTGCAATCGTTGTTGAATGACCTTAAGCAAAATTTTACTAGCATGTGACATTAATGAAACTGTTCAATAACTTCTGCATTCCGTTCAGCCAGTTTTCTTTGGAATGGTTACTGAGTTGGTTTATTGTGCCAATGGCTGATAAACACATGTGGGGTTAATTGAAGGGCAGAGAGAGAAATGACTCGGTAAACCTCGCCTTTCTAATTCTCAGGTCTCTTGCTTTCTGATGGTCGGACCAGGGTGTAGCTGTCTTAGCCAGTTCCCTGCTTCAGCTGGCAAGGTTCGCTTCCTGCGAGACATCTCTGAGGAGAAGCCACATGGACCTACCCCGATGCAGCCCTGGGTGCTGGAGCAGCTGTGTGGAGACCCTGCCAGCGCTGAGATGCTCACATGCTTACTGATTTGGCTTTTCTCCTGCAGTTGGCGTCATTGCATGTGTTTTGTGAGATTGAGGAGGACTTTGTAGATTGGTGTCGGACATATGGGCTAATGTTGGACTTATGGGCTTGGACAGCTCTGGGTTGGGATGCTTTCTTAATGAACACATAGCCTTTATATAAAACTCTCTCTTATATACATATGGGTTTATGTGGATTTGTTTCTCTAGTCTACCCAGACTAACGCAGTTACAAATCTGATCTCTTTTAATCCATGGTCCAAGTAGCTGTCTTCCAGATCTTTTGGCACAGACTTGTGAGGGCTTCCAGTGCTGCATCAGTTTGTTGAAATTTTTCGATTGGTATTCTGTCAATTCCTGGAGCCCTGTTTTTCTGCCAATGCCTTCGGTGCAGCTTGGACTTCTTCCTTCAGTTTCACAGTTCTTGAGCATATGTTCCCTCTTGAATTGGTGCATACCAGCAATGCCTTTTGGTACAGTGACATTGCATTCCTACTATCTTCTTTTGATAACCCTGCACCATTTAAGATTATGCCCATAATATTGTCCTTGAATATTGCAACTCAAGGCTTGTCTTTTGTTCCCCAGTTCTTTAACGTTGAGATGTTGCTGAGTGTGTGCTTCTCTTTTGGTTTTCTAACCCCAGGACTTATACATTTTATTATAATGCTTTACTTTGTCTTCTTGAGCTGCCCCTTGAGTTTTTCTGTTCTTCTCTTTTACTTCATTATTTCTTCCATTTGCTTTAACTACAAGTTTTAGTCTCTTCTGACACCCGTTCTGGGCTTTGCTCCTTCTCCATCTTTGTGATGAGTTTTTGCTTTCTTAATTTGGGATGTTTTGGGTGTCATCCTGCAGGGTGTCTAGTTTTAGTTACTAGTGTTCAGTGCGTCAGACTGCTCTCGAGATGGTCTCTAAACTCCGGGCTAGTGTCGCAGGGCCGTGTTGTAACTCTGGCGGACCTGTTTTCATTTCCTTCAGCTTCATCCTAAACATGCACATGAGCAACTAATGATCTGCTCCACACTTGGCCCTGGCTTCTATTGGCTCGTGATACTGAACTTCTTCCTGGTCTCTTCCCACAGAGGTAGTCAATTTGCTT